GGTTTGTCTGGTTTCAGTGATGCGTCATTCGCGCCATATGGTGGGAAGAGCTTTGGCTGCAGTCTGGTGATGGTGGGCAAGACCCCAGTGACCTGGAAGGCCGGAAAGCAACCGATGGTGGCGATGTCCGTGTGCGAAGCCGAACTAATGGAAGGATCAAACTGTGCGTTGCTCTTGGAGTCCGTGCAGGCCATGCTGCAGGAGATTTTGCCGATGACGGCTGTTCCGGTCCTCAACGTGGACAACCAGGCCGCATGCAATATCCTGACTGGATCTGTCGGGAGTTGGAGGACTCGGCACTTGCGCATTCGACATGCTTATGTGTTGGATAGGGTGAGCAATGGTTGCCTATCTATCCAGCACTTGGCCGGAGAAGATCAACCAGCAGACTTGCCCACGAAATTACACTCCCGAGCGCGGCTGTTACACCTTCTAGGGACATGGGGAATGGTGGGACTACCAGGCCTTGATGAGGCAAGGGTCCTAAAGGGCCTGAAGTTGGGCTGTATGTTCCTCCTGCTCCTTGCGATTCAATCCTTGGCGGTGTCAGCGGAGAAGGACCCCCTTCCGAGGACGGGGACAACGGAGTTGTTACTCATGGTGGTTCTTACATGCATATCTGCGGTTGCCATTTGGGAGACTGGAAGAGCACTTGGAAAGTGGCTGCTACCGATGTGTTGTGAGACAAGAAAGATGAAAAGAATTCGCAAGCTCAAGGAGCTTGCCCGAGTGGCGGCGGAGGCTGAAGTGGAAAGATGGGTGGATGTGGACGCGGCTCCTTCGACCGAACGGATCTCTACAACAATTCGGGAGCGCTTTGCCATTGAGGCGAATGGGTCCACGTCTTCTTCTATGAGGAGGACACCATCTTCAACGAGGCACAGATCACCGTCACCAACGAGGCACAGATCACCTTCACCAACGAGGCACAGATCACCGTCACCAACGAGGCACAGATCACTGTCACCAACGAGGCGCAGATCGTTATCTCCTTCAGGTGCTACCGCAGGTTCCCCTTTGGCATGTCCAAGACCGTTAGCTCCGATGAATGCTGATGGGTCAAGGACAAGTGTCTTCGGGAAGGTCAGACCTCCTACTCCACCGATGCCTGAAGCAATTCCAAGGACGGTGCCAAGCCCTGAACAACATGAACGAGAAAGAGTTAAGAAGGACGTCCTGGCCCTGATGACGGTACAGCACTTGAAGGATCGTTTGGTGGCCGAGGGATTGCCTGTGACGGGGATCAAGTGTGATTTGGTCCGGAGGCTCTCAGATCAATTGGGTGCTGAACCGCCTCTTGACTACCTACCGACGACCCGGCAGCTCCGCTACATCCTCTACACTTGGAGGCATCAACAGCTGGCGGGGCGCGCTCAACTTACCTGGGTTGATCTAGCTACCCGGGCTTCCACTTCGGATTGGCTGGCCAGATGGGCCAAGAAGAGCTGACTACGGAAAAATGAGATGCCGCAAGCCGCAGGCGTGCGTCAAGGAGGAGTGACGATGAGAATCCGCAGCTCTGTCTTGATTCCGGAGTGCTATGTCTTGATTCCGGAGTGCTATGTCTGGATTCCGGAGTGCTATGGCTGAAGACCGGAGTGTCGTTGCCAAACACGAAGCTCTTGTCAGGATTTGTATAGTGAACTGAAGCTACGACCCTGCCCTTTGTACACCCCAGCAGGTCGATAGCATGTGGAAGTAACGTCCCTGCACTTTGTACAACCAAGCAGGTCGACGACTACTGAGGTTCCCCGCGTGTTGTGGAAAAATAACCTTCAATTCGATGCCATGGCTGTCCGCTTTGCCTGTTCCAACCTTTGACGATTGACTACCTCCCGGAACTGCAAGCTCCACAGAATAACATAGGGGGCCTTCATAATTAGAATCGGGTTTTCGGGGTACATCATACTGTTAATAGTTACAAAAAGGAGATCCCCTGGTAGTATTGGTACCAAGCAAAGTTTATATTTACGTACAAGCCTGAAGCATTGGAATGAGGGCTTTATCACAATAGGCAGTAGGAAAATAGTCTGTTTAGGCTTCTACGTTGCTCGAAGACTCGAGAAAACCCTAAACCCTAAACCCTAAACCCTAAACCCTAAACCCACCATGACGGCTCGCATAAGTCGCCCCAGTAAAGATAAGGCTGTTCTCCCTAAAATCTAAATCCTGAACTTTATTTCCCTAAGTTCTAAACCCTCAACAGGTCTTTAAGCCGCAAACCCATAACCGCTCATCATCCTAAACCCCCAAACCGCGTGAATCCTAACCCCTAAACCCCTACACCCTAAACCCCCAAACCTTAAACCCCCCACACCGAAAAACCCTAAGCCCTCAATCCTATGCGCTTTGCAACTTGGCAGCTGTCTGCCCAAGGCATCGGACATGTTTGTCTTCGTCGCTGGCTTGGCCGGGCAGGACCGAGCAGCGCTTGCCTGCATCATCATCATCATCATCATCATCATCAGGGTTTAGAGTTTGGGGTTTAGGGTTTGGAGTTTGGGGGTTAGGGTTTAGAGTTTGGGGTTGGGGTTTAGAGATCTGGGTTGGGGTTTAGAGTTTGGGGTTTAGGGTTTGGAGTTTGAGGGTTAGGGTTTAGAGCTTGGGGTTGGGGTTTAGAGTTTGGGATTAGAGTCCGAGCTCAGGGTTAGGGGCCTGGGGCTTGAGGTTCAGGGTCTGGGATTTGAAAGGCTCTGGAACTGCGTCCAAGCGGAGGGCACTGCCCTCATGGGCCATTACCTCAAGCTTCCAAGACAAAGCTTGAACCTCACTCATGGCTCTTGTCCACTGGATACTCTGCCTAAACCCTAAACCCTAAACCCTAAACCCCAAAGCGCAAAAAATCACTGCCAAAGGAAAGGCGGAAGTTGCTGCTCCTCCCGGGCATACATGCGAACGAGCCGCAGCTATGAATATGTGTATGGGCCAGTGATGGAGCCAGAAGCACCTCGTATGATCAAAGAACCCCAAGTAAACCGTAAACCCTAAACCCTGAACCCCAAACCCTAAACCCTAAACCCTAAACCCTAAAGTGTTCACATGGCCGAATCGATCAAACGAAGTTCCGTGCCTCCGCCTGCAGCGGCGCGCGACCCGGAGCTGTCGCCGCAGTGCCGAGGTTTCCGAGGGCACGACACCTTGGAATCTTTGTGCTTGCGAGTTTAGGGGTTTAGGGGTTTAGGGGTTTAGGGGTTTTTTGGGGTTTAGGGTTTTTTTGTTTCTTGGTGGTTTGTCAGGCTCCAGAGCACTAACTGCAGCCACAAAATTGCAAACATTGGGTGGAGCAATGAACACACGCGAAGCAGCATCGAATCAATCTTCATCATAGACAACAGAGCGAGTTGTAAACATCATCACGGCTGTTCTAGCCATCGTCATCATCGCCCTTCGTCATCGACATCCACCCCTTAACCGGCTTAACCTGAAGGACACATAGACGGCAGCTTGGCGGCACTCCGACCAGCCAGGACCAAAGAAGCCGAAATGGGGCCAGCCACACCGACCTTCAGGGATCTCGAGTCAGCGTTCAGCATGTGATGTCAGGGGTTGAAGTTCACAACTCCGGCTTCGAGAACGAGTGTTTGCGCCGGCTTGGTCGGCTCGATGCCGAGCATCAAGCAAGGAGTACCATGCTTCGCAATCCGATCAGACTTCAAGCATATATTGAAATATATTCAAAGAAAAGTGTGCCGATAACAGACCATTTTGCAGCCGAAGAACACGTCACAAAAATCACTTCGCTGACACTTACACCCTCTTGTTGCAAATTGCATCTCTGCAAACATGCGGCGAGCCCTGCAAAGCCGGTGCGATCGGCGAAACGACACTAAACAATCCCCATGCAGCGTCTGCACTGCGTCGTAAGCGTCTGAGTATGCTTGCCGGGCCACGACCGGCGAGGTTCTGTTGCGGAGTCATCGCTGCACTTGGGTGGAGGCCCTGACGCTGCGGTTGACACAATTGCAGCTCGATAGGCCATGAGAAATGCGCACAAATGCCTCGACTAGTTCCGCATACACTCATCATGAACATGACTTCGTGAATCTGACCGCCACAGCCACGACCACCACCACTAGCAAAACCATCGCATCGGCATCAGCATCATCATCATCATCATCATCATCATCGTCCTCCTCCTCATCATCACCTAGTACATTCCGGGAATAATCTCAACAGCTGCAGCAATGCAAGCCCAATGCACTGCGTACACTGAAACAGCCCAGATCATTTGCGGTCATGCCTGCTGCACGAAACTGATGTAGTCAACATCCGAGATGAGGGAAGAACGACCGCTGCAAGCACGACCCGGACAGGCACTCTGAGAACCAACAGCCCCAGACCCAAGCCTGCCACCAGCCGGCCTATCTGCTAAGCATGTTTATCCGTAGGATTCGGAATCCGGCGAGTGTCTTCAAGTTGCTGCAAATGTTGCTAGAACTAGAAAGGCTCAAGCGTCGAGGCATTCAACTAGATTTGCCATCGGATGCTAACATGTCCAACAATTGTAGACACATGACCAGCCCCGACATCTCAAGCTATCCACGGCTTCAGGAGCTGTGAATGAGATATTGAAACCTTGGACCGAGAAGCTCAGACCTAGCTGGGGACAAGCGCCTAGAAAGAAGACACGCAAGCCATGCACGCAAACGAGCATACTCCGCAACACCACAAAGTTAAAGGACAACCCAGACCCTCAACCCCAAACCCAAAGTCTTGCGATGAAATCCTCAGTTCAACGCCACAGCCAAACCCCCAGACTCCAAATGCCAAGACGCTAGGCCTCTAGGCCCTAGGTCCCTACAAACCCCATATAATGCAGGGGCCTTAATAATTAGAATAGGGCTATGCGGTGTAGTATACTATACTTATAATATGCAGCCCCAAAAACATCATAGGCCAAAATCGAGGCCCCTATACTACGCCCCAACCCCCGGCCCGCTAACGCATGGCCTCGCCGTTTGGAAGGCGCAGCTTTGGGTTTCGGCTTTGGTGCCGCATGGCGAGCTTTGCGGCCCATGAGGCTCCGAGAGAAGGGGTCTCACCCTATGTTATACGTATATATATATATATATATTATTACTTATATAGACGTCTATATGTAATATTATACACACACACATGCGCTCGTATATATCTGTACAAGAGTGATCAGCTCTCATTAGTTCCTACTACTTGTGTGTGATCCCTTTGTTTTGGGGGGTTCAAGGTCTTGGTAGAAAGTCAAGTCCCGGCGACACTTAATATGAATGTGGGACTTGAGTCACGGCATGGGGGTTCAGCTTCTGCCCCGGACTTACACCACGTCGCACGAAACAAACCACGCTGTGAAAGCTCAAAATGACAGTAGTGATGGTCACGATAGAGATGGCGGTGCCATTGATGCTGATGCTGAAAACGATAGTGGCTGTGACGGTGATGTTAATGTTGGCTTCGCTCAAGATGACGATGATGCCAACGATGGCCATGGTCATGTCGATGATAAAACTGGCGCTGCTGTTGCGGCCAGTGGTGACGACATGACGAGGCGATGATGATGATGATGAGGATGATGGTGATGGTAGTGATGAGGATGATGAAGATGATGGCTGTATATTACTGCGGATACTGAAAACGCTGCTTTCAAGAAACAAAAGATACTGCAGGATTTGTTATTCGGTGGCGGTGGTGGTCGTGGTGGCGACAAAGCATTGCCCAGGGACCAACTATGCGGCGGCAACCACCGCCGCCTACGCCACGACCAGTAACAGTCCCCAACCCTCCATGTACCTACCATAGAGGGCCCTAGCGGGCTCTAGTACCCTACGAGTATATAGTAGGTACTTGAAGTTTAGGGAATAGCATCAGCCACGATCGTGGCCTGCGATCGAACAACGAAAGGAGCAGCACGAGTAGCAGCAAAGCACAGCTTCATCAGTAACAATGCAAACAACGCCACCACCGAAGCAAAAGTAAAACTACAAAACCAAGAAGAACGACAGCAGCTAAACAAACACAGAACAACAATTGCAACGGCAACGCAGCAGCAGCAGCAGCAGCA